TTGAAATTTGATTATGATCGAATTTTGAGGGACGTTTCTTCAAAAGAAAATTTTGAAAAACACGGCTTATTCCGATTTTTGAGGTTTTAATGACGTTTTAAAACGTCACCCGTCCCGAAAGGGTTAATAATAAACAATAACTTGCAACAGACGAAGTTAGTAAGCAAAGACTTTATCAGGTATGATTCTATTTCGTGACTAGTCAATAGATTTTTTTAAGCTTATGCACCTTCTTGTCTTTGCTACAGATCTACCTGTAAAACAATTATAACATTCGTCAAATAAGTTAGACAAAGATCTGGAAGTTTATGGATTTTATTTTTTTTGACATAGTTGCTATCATATATAAGAAACAGAATGCACGAAACATAATGAACAGTAAATAAAAAAATGTTAACGCTTTAAGATTAAAAATATGGAATTAGTAAACTACTTTTTATTCTTTACCAGAACGAACTCATCGTATAAAAATATTTTATATTAATGACAGAGAAACACTTTTAAGATCAGTGAATACATCCCTGGAAAATGGATAACCTTCTCGTCCCATACCGCTGTCTTTTATACCACCTGTATAAAAAATAAAATAACGTTACTAAAGATAGAAGCATCATTCTTTGTTACGTAATAACTTACCAAATGGCATTCTCAAATCTCTAATCATCCAACAATTGATCCATACAACGCCACACTTAAAAAGAAAGAAATGTCAATAATAATATTAATTAAAATTATTTTATTAAAATTACCTCTATTTTTTTTGCTATTCTATGAGCTCTTCCCAAGTTACTAGTCCAAAGTGATGCAGCTAGACCATAATTAATATTGTTTGCACGTTCAATCACCTCATTATCATCATCAAATACACAAACACATACCACAGGACCAAATATTTCCTGTAACATTAATTCTGATGTATCTTTAACATCTGTAATCACTGTCGGTAATATAAAATAACCCTAAACTTTCAATAGAATAAATTAATTGAATCTTCAAGTTTTATCATAATTACAAACTTGTGTCAATTCATCACTTTTTGGCGTAACAGTTTCACCACATAAAATAGTTGCATTAGCTTGTTTAGCTATTTGTATATATTTCATTATTTTATCCATATGCTCTTTTGATACTACAGGACCGATCTTCGTTGCATCATCAAATGGATTGCCAACTTTAATTTGCCTTTACAAAAAACAAAACAAAAAATAATACAGTTCATTTTTATTTCTCAATAATATAAAAATTTTTTGAGTCATTCTTACTTTACTTCATTTATGAATTTTTCAATAAAAGTATCAAAAATTTTTCGATGTACATACAATCGACTTGTAGCTAAAATAGTTTAAATAAGTATCATAAATAATAAAATGAATACTTACCAAGACAGATTTGTCCAGAATTTTGAAAACATGATCGTACAGTTGTAGGTATACATGCAGTCAAGTCTGCATCTAAAAAATATAAACCGTTTTATAGTATAGATCAGTTAATACAATCTTCTCTTTTCTTACCTTCAAAGATAATACCTGCATTTT